TGTACCTGAATGACATGATTTCCTTCTGTATCTATTCTTGTTTTACAAGGTTTCCAGATAATCTCAAGATATCTGAACATGCTGTTGGCATCTGTCAAAATTGATTGAATGTCTTTTCAATGGGTTTAAACTCACACGTTCAATTCCCTTTCATCTTAACGTTCTGTGTATGTGGTCAGAGAGATATAGGAAATATAAACATTAGAAATTATACTTTTGAGATACAGGAGAGTTAGCCATCAATTGGCAAGGTAACACCCCTACCCCCAACCCCTGACTAGGTTTGAGTGAAGGATCAACCACCCTGTGATTAAGTGCCAATGAGGATAAGCTTGCTGGGGAAGTAAAGAAGCATAATCCCTACATAAAATCATACTCCGCAAGCTCAGAGCTCCCAGAGGAGCCAACTAGGAATTCCCTGTTATTTGGCTGCAACTAGCTTTGTCAGGTTTTGGAAAAGTGACAGTTCTTTTTTACCCTTTTTTTTTTTTTTTTTTTTTTTTATAAGGCAGTTTTTCTCAGACTTTTGGAAGAAAACTTATTTTCATGGACCTTCTTTATGCCTAGTGCTTGCTCAATAATTTTCACTATAATGTTACTTAAATACGTATAAATATAAAACTTAATGTCTATAGTTTTGATATATCTGTAAACCAAAACAAAATTATAAATTCAACTTAGGTGAAACTATGAAACTAACATAAATTAAAATTAACAACATCGATATGATAGGGAATGAAGAAAACTTATTTTCATGGACCTTCTTTATGCCTAGTGCTTGCTCAATAATTTTCACTATAATGTTACTTAAATACGTATAAATATAAAACTTAATGTCTATAGTTTTGATATATCTGTAAACCAAAACAAAATTATAAATTCAACTTAGGTGAAACTATGAAACTAACATAAATTAAAATTAACAACATCGATATGATAGGGAATCAGATTTGAGACAATATCTTTTTACAGTTATAACGTCAGAGGCAGTGCAGTGTAATTAAGAGTATGGGCTCTGGAGTAAGCTTTAAGTTCAAATTTTGGCTCTGCCACTTTGTGCAAGTGACTTAATTTACTCGTTTATAAATGGGGATAATAATTTAACTAATTTAGTCAAATTAGGATTATTGGTATAATTAGGATTATTGGATATTATGCCTTAGAACTGCTTGGCAAATAATAATCGTCCAATGAGTATTAGCTGTACTAATAATTAGTGTTATTTTGTTGTTGTACTGAAACTTAATAATCAATGTTGGGTTTAATGGTAGAAAGTCTGATTCTGTATTTAATGTGTTTCTGATTTTGACGTTAGTAATATAAATACGAATGCATAGAATGTCTACTTGCCTAAGTTAACATACATTGTGGTGTTAATAACTTCATAACTTTGTTTGCTAATTTAGGATAATCACATCTCATACTTAACCTAAACTCTGTCAGCCAGGACTTGTTGAATTTCAGTTTTTAATGACATATCACTTGATAACTCTATTAAGCTGAATATCTAATATAATCATTGCCCATATCAGATATGGGAAAATAACACCAGGAGCTATTTTTTAATTCTTGAAAGTGTACAAAAAAAATCATCATTTTTCAGCATAGAACTAATCATTAGCATATTGGAGGAAATCGATAGATTCTAGAAACCATTACTCTCAGCATTTCAAAAATACCTTGATTGTCTTATCGCTGATTCCATTTTGTATTAAGCTTAAAATGTATTGAAGTATATTGATAACTATTTCTTGTTAGCTTGGATTCAGTCCATTTAATTGCCCTATATATCAGCTAATTATGTTCTCATGACTACCAGTTAACATTGGTTGCCAGACTGAAATATATTAATAGTAGTACTGGAAAAAAATGTTTTCATTTTATGGTATTCAAAAAAAGTTTTAGAGCCTCTTCATGAAATTGCCAGTGAATTTCAAAATATAATAAAAGCAAGTTAATGATTATTACCTGTTGATTCTTAAAGGTCAATGAATACTATAGAATTAAGTGGATAAGCTTTAATAAAATTTATAATTTTATCTACTTTGTGTTTTATTTATTTTCATTATGGTGTGTTTTTCTGGCTGTCAGGCCTTCAGCAAAGGTGCTATTTTACTATTGTATAGTAGCTTTTACCTGGACAATAGGTTCTTTTGAGTTCTGCATGCCTTACAATTTTGTCCTTTGATTCTGCCACATTTTTACATACTTGAACTATTGCAACATCTTCATTCAAATATTGTGCCACAATGTATATGTTTTTCTATGAACATATATTATTTGTTTTAATTCCTTTCTTTTCTCATTACCCTGTGACACTTGAAGTGGTATATTACTCCACCATCATCACATTATGCCATTTTGATGATGTCAAATCACGATGCCTTTTGTTTAAAAATTATTAATGCAAAAAAGAAGTCTGCTATTTATATCTGTTAGAAAGGATACAGCATGAACAGGTTTCCAACAAATTGGAAGTTGAGTTCTGTCACTTTAGGTGATTATGGGCCCTAATGTGAGTATAGATACAAAGGAAAAGAATGCTGAAATTACACGGCAATACTTGGATGTAAGGTGATTATTTAGGTGATGTTTATAGAATTATATTTTTTATTATGAAAATAAAAATAGGTAAAAACATTTTTACATAGAATTAAAGACCTCCTAGGAATTTTTTGTTGAGTCTATTCTGAGTAACAGTTGTACTGGAGTATGGTGCAAAGAAAATGAATGATTCTTTTTAGTCCCCCCCCCTCCCTGCCAAAAAACAAAAAAGAAAATGAAGGATTCTGCTCTAAGGTGTCAAAAACCAGAGATGGATATTATTTTGTGTGTATCCCAGTAGTGGGTTCATGTGTGTGTAACCCAAAGCTCCAATGACAGTGGCTTAAACAAGATCAGGAGTTTATCATTCCCTTATGAATCACAAGGAGTCCTGAAGTAGGCAGTTCAGAGCTGATGCTTTGGCTCCAAAATGTCACCAGGGACCTGAGCTCCTTCTGGCTCTTCTCTTCCATCCTGAAGTTCTTGCTTCATCCTTCCAAGAAGCCTCTGGAGCTCCAGCCATCATGACTTTTTCTAGGCAGGAAGAAAGGGAAGGACAAAGGGCAGAGGCAAAAACCAGACAAACCTGTGTTTCACAGGGCTTTCCCAGAAGCCCAGCCGTTGGTGTCCATATTCACATCCTTGGCCAGAACTGTGTCAGAGGGCCATCCCTATTTCAAGGGAAGCTGGGAAACATGTTTTAGCTGAGCACATTGCTCCCCCAACAAATTGGAACTCTCTTAAGGAATAAGAGAGAATGGACACTGGGTAGGCAAATAACTGTCTCTGCCACACCAGTCAAATAACTATGTTAAGAAGCTCAAAGGCCTGGATGGTTAGCTCAGTTGGTTAGAGCACGGTGTTATAACACTAAGGTCACAAGTTCAGATTCCCGTAACAGCCAGCCACCAAAAAAGCTAAAAGAAGACACACACACACGCACGCACGCATGCACGCACGCACACACACACACACACGTGGCACACACACCCCACCCTCGCCTTCTCTTTTTTCACACACGCACACACACCCTACCCCACCCCACCCCACCCCACCCCTGCCTTCTCTTTTATTTGCATTTCTACTTCAACCAAAGTTGTATGAAAGGAATATAAATGAAATAGTCCCCTAAATTGCTAGAGAGTGAAGGAAACTAAGATCGGGCAGTCCTGTCATTTTAGGCTCAGGGATAATTAGTGACTTGTCCGAGGCCATGACAGCAGTTCTAGGCCTGGAATCTGAAGTTCCTGACTCCCACAGTCATTTTCTCTTTATTTACTGTGCTGCTTCAGGAACTCTGTTTGCTCATGTATTACTTTCTCACATATGAAAGATAGCTGTGTTTCGGTTATACCATTGGAGAGAAAACTCTCACATCCCTTGAATGATTACAGTAAAAGCAATCAGAGGAAATTTCATGTTTCTTATTTGAGGGTCTTATATGTTTGCTTTGTTAGTGTTGATGGTGCTGGTGGTATTTACATATTTGATTCGTTCATTCATTTTTCCTACCCATCATGTTGTTCTCACTTTTACCCAGCCAAGGACTCATAACAAGTGGTTCTTTTTGTCTCCTGCCTAAAAAGGAATGATTTACTTCTGTTTGGTAGTTGGTTATCCTTGGATTTACAGGAACCTCAGATGGTGGAATATACTGGACACAACTTTCACCTCTAATTGTGGGATGAAGGGCAATATTTCAGGAGTTCCAGGTGGCCAGGAGGTGGGAATCCTGTTCCTAAGGGTGTTTAGAGCACTGACACTGGCCTACGATCCTTGCTTCTAGTCTACAGCCTGCTCCTCCTATGGATCTCCTCCCAATGTGTTCTCCCTTCTCCATTAAAGACTTTCTTCTCCGCTTCCCAAATCTAACCCCTCATTTTCTCCTTGGACTCCCAGTTGTATTGTTTTCTGGTGCCCAGCAGAGGATTGACTTCCTTTCTCTGACATCCATCCTAGAATGAATCCAAATCTCCTTTGTTGGCTCTGGCTAGTAATGAAGTTTCTGATGATAAAGTGTAACATTGGAAGTACATCCTCTTGGTTAATACAACTAATAAACACATTTTATTATTAAGGTGCTGACTGAACCCCTCTCTGTGACTTTGGAAGTAAAATGTACCATGAAAAACCTATTTTTTATTGCTTGTTTCATTTTTTCCTTTCCTATTTATTTTTCTTATGCAGGCATTATTATAACAATAAAGGAAACTAACAAATTTTTTCCAAACAACCATAAATCATCAGGTGTGTTTACTTTTTTCTATATTCCCGTCTAGTCCCTCTTCATATGCAATGATACTAACTAGATACAATTTTGAAATGCATTTCTTTTTTATGCCAAATGATCATAGTTGGAAGAAATTAAAGTAATTAAGATATGGGAATGTCTTGGGTAATAATGTCTTCTTATTTTGATTATTTTCCTTTAGGAAAGACACTGCTGATCCTGTAACATGGAGGATTGTCTTCATACCTCATCTGAAAATCTGTCCAAATTGGTCAGCTGGGCCCACAGCCATGGGACCATTTGCAGCCTCATTCCAAACCTGAAACACTTGCTTTCTGAAGGTTCCCATGGGAACCTGACAGCAATGTGGGGCTGTAGTGCTGGCCATGCTTATCACTGGCCGCTAACAGCTACTTGCAGAGCTGGGTCCCAAGAGAGGGTCTGTTTCCAGGATAACAGAAGTTTTAACTCTGATAGTCCCAGTATAATTGGGGTGCCTTCTGAGACACAGACTAGCCCTGTCGAGAGGTACCCTGGAAGACCAGTGAAGGCAAAGCTAGACTGTAACCGGACCAGAGACTCCTGTGACTTCTCTTACTGCAGTGAGCCTTCTGAACTGGACGAAGCTGTTGAGGAGTATGAAGATGACAACACCCTGTTTGACATGGTTTGTGAGTCTTCTGTTACAGATGAGGATAGTGACTTTGAACCCCAAACCCAAAGACCTCAAAGTATTGCTCGGAAAAGGCCTGGAGTGGTCCCATCTTCTTTGCATTCAAGCTCCCAGGCGCAGATGGTTGACGAATGCAGCAATGATGTCATCATCAAGAAAATCAAACAAGAGATTCCTGAAGATTATTACATTGTGGCAAATGCAGAGCTGACTGGAGGGGTAGATGGACCAGCTCTGTCATTGACACAGATGGCAAAACCCAAGCCTCAGACTCATGCTGGTCCCTCCTGTGTAGGGTCTGCTAAGCTGATTCCCCATGTAACATCCGCCATCAGCACAGAGCTAGACACACATGGTATGTCTGCATCCCCCTCTGTGATCTCCAGACCAGTTGTCCAGAAGACTGCTAGGGTATCTCTGGCCTCACCAAACAGAGGACCTCCTGGTGCCCATGGCACCAGCCAGCAGGTGGCCATGCAGATGCCTGTGAGCACATCCCATCCTAACAAACAGATCAGTATCCCTTTGTCTGCCCTGCAGCTGCCTGGACAGGATGAGCAAGTTGCTTCTGAAGAATTCCTGCCACATCTGCCCAGCCAGGTCTCCTCCTGTGAGGTGTCTCTTTCTCCCTCAGTTAACACAGAGCCAGAAGTGAGCTCCAGTCAGCAGCAGCCCCCAGTTGCTCCAACTATCACCACTGAGGCCACAGCACAGTGCATACCAGGTATGGCATGTGAGGTGACAGTTAGTCCCTCATCCACACACATCAGAGAACTCTGCGCCGTCATCACTTCTAAAACCATTGGCTCAGTTTGCTAGAATTCAGTCCTTAATGATGCTCAGAAAGATAGAAATAATAAAATATATTACGTCCAGGTGATACGATAAAACAAATCCATCTGAATTAAGGCCTTTCATCCAGTTGATGTACCTTAGGGCTGAGAGGACAGCTGTAGGATTGTGCTGTTGGTTTTCTGTGGCTAGATTTTAGGTTGATATCTGGCCTGAAGCTGACTTTTTATATAGTATAGTTATTTTTGAAAGGCTTTTTAATGTTTTCCTATCAATATCCAGGTATTTAGTTGCCATTTGAAGCCAAAATGATGTTGGGTAAGGAATCTAATGACAATAGACTTAATGTTTTTCCACTATTGTTTACTTGTCTGAGCCAGCTTGGTGTTGCTATTTATTTTAGTTGGTGTGGTAGTTTAGAACAAGTTTTTTAAAAAGCAACAAACATTTCTAAAAGAAGTACTTGATATTTTCTCTCAAAATGTAAAAGAATCAGGTATCTTGCATTTCTGGAACATGTTAGTCTAACTGGAATGGATTGAGAGCAGAGTGAAATAATTATATGAGGCCCCTACACTTGTAATTCTAACATCCTAATGTTCTTTAATTCCAACATTGAATACTTATATCATCCTGGCTATTGTACTATAAAGAGGGTTTGGGTCTCACGCTTTTGGGTTCATGATTTAAATCTAATGGGCCAGAAGTAGAAGCATGGACAAGGATGAACAGATGTGCAGAGGATATAAAAGCAGAAATCTGTGGCACATTTTGGTTTCTTTCAGTCCTTCTCGAAAAAGTCATGTATATTGGGAAAAGCTTCCCACAGGCACCTGTGCCTTTACCCTAACTTCCTAGAAGTAAGTTGCTTTACAAACATGCTTTTCCAATTTTAGTATTAACCTTAAGATCCCCAAAGGAAACCTTCTATTTATGATTTTTCCAACACAGTCATGGCATTATGAATAAAGGTATACACTGAAAATATTTATATCTTGATTGGAAATTATGGTTTTCAGTTTATTCACATTTCTTTTTTAAAATAGTTTTATTGAGATATAATTCACATACATAAACTTCATTCTTTTAAACCATTTTAAGCCATTTAAAAATGGTTTTTGGTATATTTACAAACTTGTGCAACCGTCACCATTATATAATTTCAGAACATTTTCATCACCGCAGAAAAAAACTCCATATCCATTAGCAGTCACTATTTCCCTCCCCCCACTCCCTGGCAACCACTAATCTACTTTCACTCTCTGTGGATTTGCCTCTTCTGTACGTTTCATATAAATGGAATCATATATGGCATCTTGTAACTGCCTTCTTGCACTTAGAGTAATGTTTTCAAGGTTAATCCATGTTGTAGCATTTCTTTCCTTTTTATTGCCAAATATTGTATTGTATTAATATACCATATTTTACTTTTCCTCTCATCAGCTGATGGACATTCGGGTTGTCTCCATCTTTTGGCTGTTATGAATAATCATGCTATGAACATTTATGTACAAGCTTTTGTGTGGGCATGTATTTTTATCTCGCTTGGGCAGCTACCTGGGAGTGGAATTGCTGGGTCCTATGGTAACTTTGTGTTTAACTTTTTGAGGAGCTGCCAAACTGTTTTCCTAAGTAGCTCTGCCATTTTACAATTTCACCAGTAATGTGTAAAGGTTCCTATTTCGGTACATTGTTACCAACACTTGTTATTTTCCATGTTTAAAACAATTATAGCTGTCCTATTGGGTATGTGAAGTAATATCTTGTGGTTTCGATTTGCATTACTCTAATGACTAACGATATTAAACTTTTTTTCATGTGCTTATTGGCCATTTGTATATCTTCTTTTGAGAAATGTCTATTCACATCCTTTGCCTGTTTATTAATTAGGTTGTCTTTTTATTGGTGAGTTGTAAGAGTGTTTTGTGTATTATGGATATGAGTTCCTTATCAGATATGTGATTTTGCAAATAGTTTCTCCCATTCCTTGAGTTGTCTTTTTCTTTCTTCCTTTTAAAAAATTTTTCCTTCAATCATTGAATATCAGTTTTACTTCAGTCATTGAATATTGACATGGTCTTTGGTTAGGAAATCTGACTCTTGATATATGTAGGACACAAGTAGTACCTTTTCACTTAAATAGTTGGGAATCTGGTTTATTTATCTGTTTTTCCTCCCCGTCTTTTTTTTTTTGGTAAATAGACTTAGCCTGACAGTTTTCTACATTCTCACTTAATTTTATATTTGAAGGTATAATTCAGATATGTATTTTGCAAAGTGGCCCAGTATACCTAGACAGTTTAGTAAGACTATTTTGTGTGTTGCACACCCTTCCACTAACTTACCCCTGCAAAGAAAGATGCAAAATATCATTGCATTTGTCTATGGATAGTAAATGAGATACTGAGACTCTTTACTAAACCACATGTGAATATCTTGTAAAAGAAATTCATCCTATTTGAAAAAAGAGAGAATTTTAATCCATTTATTATTGTGTGTATTAACATTCTTTTAGGTTTTTTTCTTCCCTTATTGAGATTGCACTTCTTATGATAGCTATAAAAACCAGGCATGGCCCAGAATAGCACATTATATATACAATTGTAAACTGTGATTTGGCTTTACTCTCACAAGGAGGGTAGGATGACTTGGAGTTGAACCTTTAAGAAAAATAGTGTGCAGAAATGGTAATGGGGGGGGGCCGGCCCGGTGGCGCACTGGATAGTGCGCCGCTTGGGAAGCGCGGCGGCGCTCCCGCCCGAGGGTTCGGATCCCACATACAGACCGGTTCCCGCTCACTGGCTGAGCGAGGCGCGGGAGCGACACCGAGGGTTGCAATCCCGTTGCCGGTCCCCGGTCCGGTCCGGGGGCAACACTGAGGGTTGCAATCCGTTGCCGGACACGGAAAAAAAAAAAAAAAGAAAAACAAAGAAAAAAAAAAAAAAAAAAAAAAAAAAGAAATGGTAATGGTAATTTCCTAGGGAATGGTCCTCATGTTTTGATCCATTGTTCTCTGGAAGGATATCATATTGCTAAGATATCTTTAGCTTTAGAGAAACACTATTTGGATCGGAATGAGACATGGGACAAACAAAAATCTAATTGACATTTTTCTTTTGTAAGAGGTATATAAAATTAATGTGTAATTTTCCTTTGTTCCCTAGAGCTTAAACTAAGTTCTGTGTTCTAAAGTTTTCTTTATTTGTGTTTGCATATTTATTTTTAGTCGATAATCTTCATTCTAGACATAGATATTTAAAAAATTAGAATCTAGCATTTCTAGTCACTTAAAAATGACTATACAGATGGAACTTACACAGTTAATGTGGAAAGCATGCCTGGAACTCAGCAAAGAAGAAAGGTGCTGAAAGAACTAGCTGAAAGCTAAATCAGGCTCTTTTAAAATGGATCCTATGTAAGCTTGAGTCTTTTTACCAGATCATTGCAGAACTACTACTACATATCTTTAAATAATATTTTTTAAGTAAATAAGTTGACAAATGACTATTGAGTCAGCCAGAAACAAAGAGAAATTGTTCCATTTTGTTTAGTTTTACTGATGCCATTTTAATTCTGTTCCCCTAGTGGAAAATCATTCTTATTTCTGTTCAGAACTGAACTCATAACCTTATAAAATGTTAATCAAGGTGCGTATAAAAGCATTAATTTTTATGTCAATCCTGCCATACTGCTCAATCCAAATCTTAGCAATGAGTAAAGAGAACATATATTATTAGAAAAATTATTTACTATCTTCCAGTAGCTTGGATTCCATTAATTTTTGAGGTTTTTATGTAAATTTGGGACATTTATCATAATTAGATTTAAATCTCTGTTGCATTGTAAGTTGGGTTTTTATGTGTATATGTATATTTCTTAAATATACTCACATACATATATCTGCTTTTATGATTATGTATAAAGACCTTTTACCAATCAGCTCATTTCCCAGAATTTTTATGGTAGCAAGCATTGAATTTTTACTTAGTAGATTTGTAATATATATAGTTTTTCTTTTCCAAGTATACAACTTTATCTTTTTCTAATATATTCATGTCTTCCTTGTATATTAGAAATAATAACTCATTGTCTATCATGTATATTGGTGTACTGAGTGCTTATCATACTATATCGCCTCAGCATTTATTTTTAAATACAGGTGTAACTTTTAAATACCAGGGCTTGGTCTCCCTTGACAGTTTCCAGTACTATACCCCACCCATTGGCTCCAGCTTGTGGCCAGAGATTAAAAGTTAGAGGTGTCTCTCCCACCTAGCAGGCTGAGCGCCTTGCTTTCCCTCCTCCTTCTCTCCCCATCTCTCTCATTTCCTCCCTCCCTCCCTCTCTTTCTTTCTTTAATTTTATTTCTTAGTTGACATGTAATAATTGTACATATTTATGGGGTACAGAGTAATTTTCCCATACATGTATATACTGTGTGATGATCAAATCGACTAGTTAGTGTATCCATCACTGCAAATGTTTATTGTTTCTTTGTGATGAGGACATTTGAGCTCCTCTCTTCCAGCCATTTGAAAATATACAATAAATTATAGTTAATTTTTAATATTAATTATAATATAATAATATATTATTTTTATTATACTAGCACTGAATACTATAACTTATTCTTCCTATCTAGCTGTAATTCTGTATCCATTAACCAACCTGTCTCCCTACCCCTCCTCTGGCCTCCCACCCCCTTCCCCTTCCCAGCTTTTGGTAATCTCCCACCCCCTTCCCCTTCCCAACTTTTGGTAAGCACAATTTTAGGCTCTGTTTCTTATGAACTCGCTTTTTTTTTTTTAGCTCCTGTATGTGAGTGAAAACATACGGTATTTATCTTTTTGTTCCTGACCTCCCACCCCCTTCCCCTTCCCAGCTTTTGGTAAGCACAATTTTAGGCTCTGTTTCTTATGAACTCGCTTTTTT